CATAGTATAATTTGTAAAAGTTTATAAATAAAAAATTTATAACTTTATATAAGTTGATCTTCCAATATGTATAGAGAGAGAGAGAACTTGCCATTTTGCAATACAACAAATATATAGAAAATTAGAACAATAAATTATACGCCACTTGGGATTAATATGCGAGTAAAACTATCGGCATGATAACCAATTTTCAGTAGACTAAATGCATATAAGAGACAAGGTTATGAATATGATGCTATCACTTGGGCTTAATATGCGAGTAAAAACTATCGGCATGATAACCAATTTTCAGTAGACTAAACGCATATAAGAGACAAGGTTATGAATATGATGCTATCGCTAAGCATATGAAACACGTCGCATCAAGTAACCATATTGAGGATCTGGGTATAATTTAAAAGTCAAACACCAAAAGCTGAGAAAGAAGTATCAGTGGGGACGACTTAAAAACAATGGCAAAAAAATTTAGGTAAGAGTAATAAATACAATGTGAGATATCAATATAATATGCATTAATAAACTACTTATATTCTAATGTAGCAAACAAGGCAGTGGTTGGATAATTGGGGGGAAAATATAAACATCCCGCTTTTTAAGAATGTGATGTGTGAAGTTTATCTGCAATTGCTCCTACGTAGACATCCAACCCCTTCCTTTTTTCCGTGGCAGATTCCGTAGAAAGTTTCCATCTTCAAACTATCCAATTAGATTTGCACTAAAAAAAAACTATGCAATTAAATTACTGCTTAAGACGATAAGGAGTCCCAAGTCTTAACTAGCTGCCAAAACCCAAGGTTCATTATTGAGCTAGTCAGAAATTAAGTGAGAATAGAGGTCATTTTTTTATGGGTGAAATATTTAATCTAATAATCACAAAAGAGAGAGTGATATAGATCAAAGCTTGAGAGTCACTATTCTAATTTCAGGCTTGCTAAGGGTGAAGGGAGGAGATGTTTGAGCTCGATTATGGCTAAGGAGTGAATTTGATAGAGTAATTGCTAACTTGCATGATGGAGAAAGTGATCTGCTTGGTGAGGCTGACCTCTATTCATAGGATAAAGGAGATTTTCTCTGAGTATGGGAAATGTGATGTCATAACATTTTTGTTATGTGGGCCCGACTACGATATTAGGTTGCATGACCCATAACTTGTAAAGGTCATGTGCACATAAAAAATATGAAGAGGCACGTGTATATATAAAGAAATCATAAATATACTCTATGTGCTAAGTAATTGTGACATTGCCGGATAGCCACCATTTGAACTAATTGGGCAAGATCATCGGGCCGGTCTAGAAGGATTATATAAGCCTACAATAGAATAGAAATAAGATTTCGGAGGGAAAAAAGTTATAACAAATTGTATGATAATTAAAAAAAAAATGAGAAATACCTAACCATTCTGAAAAGGTCATCTGCTCCTGTTTTTGGGACGCTGCAGGTCTAAAATAATTAATAGATAGATAGATACAAAGGAACCGTTGCTTTAATTTATGCATTACCTAGCTATCCATTCTACCGACAAACCATGGTACCACGATTAAAGGCCAAGCATGTCAAAGATGAACGCAATCAAGGGAATGGTAAATAATAAATATAAGGGGATGGAAAAATTTGATTGGTGATGACAAATTCTGGATGCAGTCCAGTTAATTTGGTCAAATTTTCGCTATTAATTAGGTTATAAAACTATATTGAGACTTACTAAACGGAGGACTCGATATATGCGTAGGAGTCCTTCTAATATGTATAGCTACATATAAAAAAAAAAAATGTCCATATATATATATGTATAGGTTGAAGGTTGGTATTGTTGACAAGGCCACAATGCGTGTTGTTTTGTTCAAATTCAAGTAGAGAAGTCAATGTAGTTATCTTCATAGATTTCCACCTGATAGTGGTGTTGGATGCTTTGCTGGTCAATAATTTGGAATTGGATCAATCAAGAAGATAGTGGCAAAAAAGAATACCCATGTTATGTTTCACTATAGAAGAGCAGCAGATATGTCTAAATAAGAGTTTTGGTGTTTCCTGCCCATATTCTTCGGCGTCAATTCGCTGGCATGATTTATAATCTTAGCTATTGGCCAACAGTCCAACACGCAGCCTCTAGGTCAAGAAAAGTACATGTTACGACATCATCATCTAACCTATTTAACGTGTAAATAATATTACCAAGGAATTTTTAGCCAAACGCTTGATTTTTTGGTGATTTTCCATGTCTTTTCCCAAATGATTTGGGCTTTTAACAGATATTTAGTTGAACATGTAAACTCGTCTTGTTAGAGTTTTTGTTTTTTTAATTTGCGTTGCGGATAAAAGCTGGCTTAAGGGTCAAAATAAACTACCATGTCCATCAAAATTGAACTACCGGATTTGGACCTAAATTTTTCCACAACAATTAGCCTTTGAGAATTGAGAATTTGAGAGAGACTCCTTCCAATATGGTTGCGGAAAACTGTGATCGAACGACACGTTCATTAATGGCTAAAGCATCCATCAAACGACGTTAATTAGCTGGCAAAACTTGGAACTTAAAAATTTTTCCTTTTCAAATCGAAACCTATAGGTGGAAGTCTGCATCAGTATTTACCAATAAAATATTTTATCTATTAAAAAGAATAAGATTGCAAACCGTTTAAAATGTTTAATATGCTTTGATTCGTATAAGATGTTAATGTTTGTTACCGTACGAATATCATATAAAATTGAGGAACATTATTCTAACAATCTATTTTTCATTATTTATTTCCGTTAATCTAACGGTTATGATTTATTAGGTCACATTTATTAATTAATTAATAATTTCAAAAAATTATAATCGTTAAATTGACAAAAATCAATGATAAAAAAATAGGTTATAAAATATTATAAAAATTTTAGATTATAAAAATAACGATTCTCTATAAAATATGTGTAAAACATTTGACTATTCAAAAAATGTTGCAGTATAATTTGGAGTATTTTTCTAAATGACTTTCAAGAGGGTACAGAAAATATAATGTGTAAATGAATATGTGCTAAATAACGCTACTCGTTATTCAAGAAATAAATGTGTTGGTGAGCAAGGGGTGTGGTATTATATTGCACCGGAAAGTGAGATATGATACTATATTTTGACATGTTAATTCTAAAAATATTAGATTTTAACATGTTAAGACAAGTTTTGATATTAAATAATATCTTAATTTATGTAGTGTATATTATATTTAATATTTAATATTTAATATTTAATAACTTAACAAAAAATAAAGTTAAACTTATAATATTCATCAATTTTGTAAAAAAACATAAGATGACACAAATATTTATATTAAATTCATTAAAATATTAATCGTAATCCAACGAATCTAATAGTTGCAACTAAAAATGTAATACAACACAGTATTTGAACTTTTTTTGAATATCTGCAATGCGTGTCAGAGTATCAGAAAATATAGGAGTGTCAAAAAGCATCAGACATAACACATCAATTTTTTTGAAGTATCTATGCTCTCAAGTCAAATTTCAGTTGTTTAGGCCTAAATGGAATGACCAAGCGCTCATTACAGAAGGCTAAGGAAAACTTGGTGCCAGTGACTCTGGGCTAAGTAGTATGGCACTTCACGTAACAGCCTGGCTTTTTAGTTGATTCAGTCCAATAACGGTCTGGGTCAGGAGGAATTTTTGACTCGTTATTCAAGCTCAAAACTGCTTAAATTATCGGTGAAGTTGGAAGCCACCGGTCTAACAATATTTGAATAGGATTAAATAAGTATGGATAAAAAAAATTACCGGTGATGGAAAATGAAAACAAACTATATGAAAAAGAGAATTATTATTTTTATTTGAGAGCTTAAAATCTAATAGAAAAGGAAAGGTGTTAAGAGTACAGGAGCCCGAACTACTCTGGAGATTTGTATTTGATATCACGCTCTGATTTAAAATCTTAATACAATAAACTTAATGAATATTATTTCTAATGTTACATGAGATAAATTATATCATATAATGTGGATTTCATTCATTTTTTTTTTTATTACATGAGATAATTTATCTTATGTAACATGAAAAACAATAATCTTATAAACTTATAAGTCGTATTTATGTAGTTTTTGATTAACTTACTTTTTTTTAGTACAAATGGGGGTGCTTAACTCACTTTTTACCAACGTAAAACTCGAGCGAATCTATTTATCTCTATTCTCCTAGAGGACCCAATTTTTTAATTTCTTAATTTCTTAACTCACTTTCTTCTAGTCCGTCCCACTTATTATGAGGAAAAAAAAACCTATAAAAATTATCAGAATTGTTCTAATGATGATGAATTTAGGTAATTTACATCAGATTATATGTTCAAGCTATTATTGTATTAAAAAAACTAATTGTAAGACAGAAAGTGTGATGAGAATCACAAAGGGCCACGATGGATTAAAAAGGTTTCTTTTCTCTTTACAAAAATTAATAGTTAAGTTAGTAAAAATTTCACTTAAAAAAAGTTTGCGGAAATTTGCTGTAGTTTGGATTAGTTTATTTTTCTTTAAAACAATTTAAGATTAAATGTTTAAGAATAAACTTTTTAACTTCACTTTTTCTTAAATGTAACATAATAAAAACTAACCTTACATTCTGATACAACACTAACTGATGAGGGGAACATAAAAGATGCAAGAGCTGGAGAAACAGAAGAAGAGAACCTTGGAGATATAAGAGAGCCAAGCATAGCAGAAAGGAAAGCAGTTAGAGAAAGAAGGAAGCCACTAAGATTTAGAGATACATTGTAAATAAAAGAAGTGTAACCGAAATAGCAAGGTGTTTAGTATAGGATGACGTGTAAGGGAAAGGATAAATGTGTATCGATATAAATCAATTGCTTTGTACAGATGTCAAGTAACTGAAATAAGAATTGAATCATTTTTTTCTCTCACCTCTGAGTCTCTTCTCTCTTCTCACCCCTTTCTTCGTTTCTTCCTTCATAGATAGAGATAACCTCTATCAATTGGTGCTTTCATCCACGAACTATGGCACCGGAAACACGTAACAGATCCATCGATGATCGTTTGGAAAACACACAAGCTGAAGTAGACATCTTGAAGGAGCAGATGAACAAGCGTTTTCAAGAATTAGCATGTAAATTGGATGCAATTTTTTATAATTACAGAGAACAACCACCACCACACGGTTCCGCGACAACTTCCCACTCTGCATGCTCGCGCGATCATGCGGCAGCCAGGAATTTGCGACTCAAGGTTTCAAGGTACGACGGATTAAGCGACCCACAGGGTTGGATCTATAAAATCAATCAATTTTTTGATTTTTATGATATGGCTGAAGATCAGAGGTTGAAGATAGCGCCCTTTTATTTTGAGGGGAAAGCATTAGCTTGGTTTCAGTGGGTGCACAAGAACACGGTGATTGATTCGTGGTCTGGGTTTTCTAAAGCTTTACAGAGCAGATTTGGGCCGTCCGAAATGGAAGATTATCAAGGGAAATTGACGAAATTGATTCAATTGGGAACGGTAATGGAGTATCAAGAGCAATTCGAGACAATTTCCAATCAGGTAGATGGATTGTCTGAATCCTTTCTTGTAAGTTGTTTTATTTCAGGATTGAAACCTGAAATTTTACATGATGTTTCCTCCTTTCGCCCAACGTCCTTAACCCATGCCATGTCCTTAGCAAAAATCCAAGAGTCCAAAATCCAATTAAAGAACAACCCCCCAAAATTACACTCTTCTTATCCTCCATTGTTACCCACACCTCTTCACCCTTCCAAAACAACCCAGAATACAAACCCAACCAAGACTGCTTATCCAGTTAACACTACAAATACACTCAAACCCGATTGGAAACGGCTAACACAAAGCCAAATTCAGGAACGCAGAGACAAAAATTTATGTTTCACTTGCGGAGACAAGTATTTTTTTGGTCATAAATGTAAGGCTTCTGTTCATGTGTTGATTGTGCCTGATGAAGAGGAAGTCGAAGAATTCCATTCACTAGTTGATTCTTCCCTTTCTCCTCCTGGAAATGATGTGGATGAGTCTATTACAACTATTCCTCAAATCAGTTTCCACGCGTTAGCAGGTGTGATTGTCCCTCAAACATTGCGATTTACAAGCTATATTGGTAAATCTGAGTTCTCATTGTTGGTGGATGGAGGGAGCACACATAATTTCATCCAACCTAAGCTGGTTTCTTCACTATCCTTACCTGTTACCAATGACAAACAGTTCGAAGTTATGGTGGGTAATGGGCAGACATTACATTGTCAAGGCTTCTGTCCTGCAGTTCCTGTCCAAATTCAGCACCATATTTTTTTGGTGGATTTCTATATCTTACCTGTTCAAGGAGCTGATATGGTCCTAGGAGTTCAGTGGCTGCAAGTACTTGGACCAGTTACCTTGGATTACAATAAGCTGACTATGGAGTTTCAATGGCATAAAGAAACTATCAAGCTTAAAGGGGAATCTCATACAGGTCCAATTTCTCTTAATCAATTTCGCAAGATACAGCAAACAGGACAAGTGGAATCCTTGTTTCATTTGAAGATGCTGGACACTATTTTTGATTCACCAACAGAGATTGCAATACCACAGGTACAACAACTCTTAGTAGAATTTGATGCACTTTTTCATGAACCTACAGACTTGCCTCCACATAGACAAATAGACCATGAAATTCACCTTGAACCCAACACACTGCCTGTAAATGTCAGACCGTATAGATATCCCCATTTTCAAAAAAATGAAATTGAAAAACAAGTTGCACAGATGCTTGATTCTGGATTTATCAAACATAGCAATAGCCCTTTCTCATCTCCTGTCCTTTTAGTTAAAAAAAAAGATGGCACATAGAGATTTTGTATTGATTATAGGGCACTTAATAGCATTACCATCAAAGGGAATCATTCCCACTGTTGATGAGTTAATGGATGAGTTAGGAGGCTCTCAAATTTTTTCCAAGTTAGATTTAAGGGCTGGTTATCACCAAATTCTCCTTAAGCCAGAAGATACACACAAAACAGCCTTTAGGACTCACCAAGGCCATTATGAGTTCTTGGTTATGCCTTTTGGGCTAACCAATGCTCCTTCTACATTTCAAGCCACAATGAACCACATACTCCAGCCCTATTTGCGCAAGTTTGTTGCTGTATTTTTTGATGATATACTTGTGTATAGTACTTCTATGGACTTGCACATACAGCATTTAAAACAGGTCTTACATACTTTGCAAATTCACCAATTTTTTATCAAAAAAAGCAAGTGTTCTTTTGCTCAAAAGGAGGTTGAATATTTGGGACATATTGTCTCTTCCAATGGAATGAGTATGGATCAGAATAAGATAAAGGCCATCCTTGATTGGCCAGCTCCCAAAAATGTCAAGCAGCTACGCGGTTTTCTTGGCCTCACAGGTTACTACAGAAAATTTGTTCAAGGATATGCAACCATTGCATCTCCTTTAACAGATTTACTTAAACATGATGCTTTTAATTGGTCCCCAACTGCTCAAACAGCCTTGGAAAGTCTAAAGGCAGCCATGGTTAGTGCTCTAGTGTTAGCTTTGCCAGACTTTGATCAAGACTTCGTTGTTGAAACTGATGCATCTGACTTGGGTGTGGGTGCTGTCCTTCTTCAACAAGACCATCCACTTGCTTATTTTAGCAAGAAATTGTCATTGAAAATGCAGAGAGCAGCAACATATGTGAGAGAATTATATGCAATAACAGAGGCAGTGAAGAAATGGAGACAGTATTTGCTTGGCGGACGATTTCTCATTAGAACCGATCAAAAGAGTTTAAAGGCTCTCTTGGACCAAGTTATCCAAACTCCAGAGCAGCAGTATTACCTCACCAAACTCTTGGGATTCCAATATACAATAGTCTACAAACCAGGCAAGGAAAATCGTGCAGTTGATGCCTTATCAAGACAGCCTGATATCATGAGTTTCATGGCCCTTTCAGTACACCAATTTGATATTTTGGATGAATTACGGGAAGAGAATCTACATTCTGCATTTTTCCAGCAACACCATCAACTTTTAACAAACTCCAACAGTGCAGATCATGGCTTGGAAATCAGAGATGGATTAGTATTAAAAAAAGGGAAATTGCTCCTTGATCCTCACTCACCTTTGATTGATAAGGTTATGAAGGAGTGCCATTCCACACTGACTGGTGGTCATTTCGGCATACAAAAGACAGTTGCTAGAGCTTCTACAAGCTTCCTCTGGCTCGGCATGCACAAGGATATTAAGAGGTATATTAACTCTTGTATAGTTTGTCAACAAGTTAAGGTTCCCACTCAGAAACCTGCAGGCCTTCTGCAACCAATTTCAATACCTGAGAGAGTGTGGGAAGACCTCTCCATGGACTTCATCATTGGCCTTCCTAACTCCTATAGGCACACAGCAATCTTGGTAGTGGTTGAAAGACTTTCCAAGATGGCACACTTTGGAGCCTTGCCAAAAAAATTTAATGCTGTGAAGGTGGCCACTCTTTTTACAGATATGGTATGTAAACTCCATGGCATTCCAAAGTCTCTCATCTCAGATAGAGACCCCATATTCCTTAGTACATTTTGGATGGAATTGTTTGAGCTAAGTGGAACAAGTTTGAAAAGATCCACTGCATACCATCCACAATCGGATGGTCAATCCGAAGTAGTGAATCGAGTATTGGAACAGTTCTTGCGATGCTTTGTAGCTGAGTCTCCTAAGCACTGGTTCAGATTGATAGCTTGGGCAGAATTATGTTACAATACTGCATCTCATGCAGCAACTGGCATGTCCCCCTTCAAAATTGTATATGGTCGTGACCCTCCTGGAATACTAGACTACATTCCCACAACAGCCACAACACCTGAGGTGGACACATTATTGACTGATAGGCAACTGCTGCTACAACAGCTCAAGAGTAACTTACAAAAAGCCCAGCAGCTCATGAACATCAAGCAGACAACCATAGAAGGGATGTCCATTACAAACCTGGTACATTGGTGTGGGTTCGCCTTCATCCCTATAGACAACAATCACTTGCTGCCCGTATTTCCAATAAACTTGGGTACAGGTACTTTGGACCCTATCCTATTGAGAAAAGAGTGGGAAAGGTTGCTTACAAACTCACCTTACCTGCCTCAGCCAAGATCCACCATACTTTCCATGTGTCACTCCTCAAACCGTTTCAAGGGGACCATGATATCTCTCCATTTCCCTTGCCAGAGTTATTTACTGGTGGTTTGCCTGTTATGCAGCCTAAACAAGTGTTAGCCTCTCGACAGCATCAGGATGGTACAATTGAAGCTTTGATATTATGGGAGGGAATGCCTGCTGAACAGACTTCATGGGAAAGTGTAGCAGAACTCCAATAGCAGTTTCCTAACTTCAACCTTGAGGACAAGGTTGTTTTCAATGGTGGGAGTATTGATACAACACTAACTGATGAGGGGAACATAAAAGATGCAAGAGCTGGAGAAACAGAAGAAGAGAACCTTGGAGATATAAGAGAGCCAAGCATAGCAGAAAGGAAAGCAGTTAGAGAAAGAAGGAAGCCACTAAGATTTAGAGATACATTGTAAATAAAAGAAGTGTAACCGAAATAGCAAGGTGTTTAGTATAGGATGACGTGTAAGGGAAATGATAAATGTGTATCGATATAAATCAATTGCTTTGTACAGATGTCAAGTAACTGAAATAAGAATTGAATCATTTTTTTCTCTCACCTCTGAGTCTCTTCTCTCTTCTCACCCCTTTCTTCGTTTCTTCCTTCATAGATAGAGATAACCTCTATCACATTCAATGTCTATGCAAATATGCAGCAATGATGATTGATTTGGTACAAACTTCCTTTTATTAGGGTTTGCAATTTTTTACATAAAAAAATAAAGAAAATAACAATAGTAATAAAATTTTGTTTTTATTATTTTCTTCACAACATCTTAAAAATAAAAAAATATCATAAAATGAAATGAAATTATTATAATTTAAATAAAAATATAAGTATCAAAGTTCAAGTTGGATTGTGTTGGGTCAGTTTTTAACCAAAACAGAGCCATCGGGACCTAAACCCTTGTGCAGGTCCAAGTTATCACATAATCATCAATCTCAAATGGGAGAAACCCAGCTTGTTTATATAGGCCCAAGTTCCAATGATGTTATCTTGCACTCTTCTTTTTGTTTTGATTCTTAACCCTTTTAATAAACAAGAGAAAAAGGCAATCAAAGTTGTTTATTATTTTTCATAGCTAATCCGTTTATATGTGAAAATTTATAATAGAAAAGTACATAATTAACTAAGCATATTAATTTTTAAAAGTAGAAAAGGAATTTAACAAATTGAAATTATTTAAGAAAACATGTTACCAATATAGGTATGATAAAATTACGTTAAAAACTTTTATAAGTGGCATTAATCTTATTAAAGGCAATGCAAAAAGTATCAATTGTTTTATGTAGCGACAGAAATATGGTTGGAGATCCTTCATTCATATGTCATTTGTAAATATCAATTAGTGTGTTATTTGTTAACTTTTTTTTTTTTGAAACTTTGTTAATTTTATTTAAATCTTCATTGAAGGCTGTGGTAATACTCTGATTTTGAAGTAAGACAATTTTTTCTTTTATTAAATATTCTTTTCATAGAAAAAAAAATTATTGTAGCGTGGTCACTACCCCCCAACTCTCAAACTTTTGTATTTATATTTAGAAAGACTCAAAAAGTGTTCGCGATTTGGATTGGATCTCCCTTCGATTTGATTATTTAATCATCCATTTGATTTGAATTTTTTTTAAATTCAATTCAATCCAATCCAATCCAATTTTATTCAGTTTGGATTGGATTAGTTTTCAATTGTTTTAAAAAAACATAAAATTTAAGCCAAACAAATCACTAGCTATATTAAAATAAAGTCATTCAAAATTACAAACCACTGAAAAATGGACATCTTCAAACTAAAACAAGTCTTAAAACTCATGAAGAGTTAAAATAGATTAATAGATAATAAAAACTAAAGCAAGATAGTTTGCTATTAATAAGACAATAACATCCAAGATTTCAAATCTACAAAACAACAAGATTCCAAGTTATCATCTTTCAAAAATAATAAATATATAATATATTAGATCGGTTTGGATTGAATTAGTTTTTATCAACCAAATCGAAAATCAATCCAATCCAATTAAAATATGCAGGTTTTTTTTTGGTTTTTTGGATTTCGATTTTCGGTTCATTCGATTATCGATTTTTCAGTTCGCTCACCGACTCACCGCGGTTTGAATCGGTTTGGATTGGTTAATAAACACCCTTAAGAAAGAGTTTATCCTTATTACTGAAAAGTTTTATAACTCTTACTACTAAACTAATCACAGTTGGTTTCCGTTAATCCAGTGTTTTAAAACCTCACTCCGCCCCCTGGGTTGACCCGGGTCAACCTTGACCCCTCCCCTCTGAGGGTTGGGGTCACAAGTTGGACCCTATATGCATATCGACCCCTCAGACTCCAAAATCCGGCCGGATTTCAGTAACTCCCGGGTCAGAGGGGTCAGAGGAGGTCACTGCGTGTTTTTTTTTTAATTTCATGAAACAACATCGTTTTATTAAAAAAAATAAAATAAAAATGCTTGAAAACCTCAATCTAATCGTTCTCTTCTCTCCCAGCAACCTAAATGTCTTCAATCTTCACCTCGCTGCAGTGAATCCTCTAGAAAAGGTAAGAATTTTACCCATTCAAATGAGATCTTTACGGTCGTTGATGAAAAATAAAAACTAATTCTTACTTCCTTTAAATTTTCCTTTGTCAGGGACCTTCTCAAAAGATGCAGAACTGGGTCAGTGTAGTAACCCCATTAGAATGAGTTTTGT